ATAACTTGTACTCTTCGCCAAGTAGGATTATAAGACAGGAAAGATTCGATAGGCAGGGCATGTAGCGAGCATGGAGAGAAAAGTAATGTATGTGGTGTTTTGGTGGGAAAGTCAGACACCGCTAGGAAGACCAAGATGTAGTTGGGCGGATAATATTCTAATAGAACTGAGATAGTATAATATCGTGAACGGATTGATCTGGGTCAAGATACGGATCAGTGGGAGGCTCTTGTGAACAAGGTAATGAACCTTCAGGTCCCATGAAATCTGGGCAAACTTTAGAGTATCTGCACAGCTTCATTAAGTTAGTCAATTCACTACTGATTCATATTTAATTGTGCTTCCATTTTTTTTCGACGCCACAAATACTGCGTAGTTGATACACTATTTGTAGTTATCTTAAAAGAATAGAATAAATTTCTGATTTAATACTTGGCTTTCTTCAGCAGTAATATTAGAATTGTGTCAGCAAATTTTTAGTAATGTGCTTTCTATTAATTTCATATTTTTTGCGTTTCTATCAGTTTCCTGTCTACTATAACAGACCTAATGAAGAACACTGATATTTCGAAATCTGCTCCACAAATATTGCAGCATTTACGTAAGCTATGACTGTTAATGTGGTGTGCAGTAATTGGGATAATTTGAAATTTCACCTACTCTGGGACTGTGTTTCGATAAAAAAAACAGCAATTGTCCTTGTTAATAAAATAATTATGTATTTAATGAGCCCGTATAAAATTCGCACATGATAAGTACTAATGTAGATACAAGTCAGTATTACAGATGCTTCAAAATCCGCCCTGGACGTCATGTTCAAGTTTCCAGCTCAATTAGTATTTCTGTCTGTATTTCTGAATTCATTACATGGAGGAACAAGAGTACAAAATAGCCAGTAGAGATACAGACTAATACGGAGAAATCTAAAGAAAACACTGTCCAAGAATGAAGATTACTGTCTTATGGAATGTGACGCCGTATAGTCTGGTAATATTTACAGCTGTGTTGTTAGGCCATTGTGTCTGTAGATGGAGGCAACAGGTTCATCCAAAACGTCGGTAAATATATGCCGGCCTATATCACATCACATCTCAGAAGAAAATAATATTTACGTCACGGCCGTGAAAACCTCAGATCTCGCCTACGAAAGACTAATAACCATACTTCACACGGATTGGAGGGCCTCAGAGCGCTTTCTGGGAAGAGAATAGCCGACTATAAATGTATTGATCAATATAAAGACATGAGTATCACCCCAAAAGTAGACAGAACATCGGTAAAGTGTTTTAGTCTAGTCTCTTGAAGTAGAATTATGCAGTCTCCATTCTGTGTGTTTGTGAATCCCCCTACTAACTTTAGAATTCCTGAACAATTCTTTACGAGACTTGGTATGTATATCAAGGCACCTGAACCCGTCTCAAAGGCATACTCCATAAATCCTTCCCACTAGTCTGTATGTCTGTATGTTTATCGCTGAAATTGCTGCTAGGGAAAGGCTCGGTAAAGGGTACCCCTCATTTCGTTGCTAGACAACAGATCGGCAATCACGTTCCCGAGGCAACGAATACACAAAACAAAAGAACAATTGACGGAGGCGTGTCTCTGTGGATTTGTCTGTATATCATTTAACGTTATTAGGTAATAACTATTGAAAGACGTTCCCGCGGCAACAGAGAATTGTAGGAGGGATCGTTTTCTCTTCCGTCCATGTCATAGAAAAGTAGGCGATTAGTTCTTCCCTGAACTTCTTGTTCATTATTTAAAATTCCGTCTTTTTCTGCAACTTTTGTTAATATTCGGTGATATTTTAGTGTTAGTGTTTAGTGTTACATTACATTCAAGTAATTGTTCACAAGTTTCGGCCTCACAGGCTCATTATACTAAATTATATCGTAAGCTGGTTCACTGTGTTTTGCTCAAGTTGCGAGAATCTAAGTTATCTTTTAAATTAATGTTTAAACTAGTTTAAATATTTGTGCCTACACTTAAATTCGAAGTTTAATTTATTGCAGGCTTAAAATTAAATCAATTTGGCTTTAATTAGGCTTCTATCAAGATGCCTGGCGACAGATCTAGAGGTCCCTAGTTTGATTCCCGGCGCTACCACATTTTCTGAGAGGTAGTGGGTCTGGAAAGGGTCCATTCAATCTCCTTAGGATAATTGAGGACCTATTTCAAGGGAGTAGCGGCTTCGGTCTAGAAAACAGAAATTAACGGCAGTGGGTATTCGTTGAGCTGACCACACGACACTCTCTATCCTCAAAAGTTCGCACTAACTTCGCCGACAAGCAGCGGTCGCTCGGTCGGTATAGTTCGCTTACGGAGCAAAGCCACGAAGTTTTTTTTGTTGTTGTTTGTCCATCAAGATTGGCAAAATACAGTGATAAAACTTACATCGTATAATTAATGTAATTGTTCAAGGCCTGTGAGGCCGAAACATTTTGCGAAAACTAAGTGAACGTACCATGGCTGTAAGGGACAACCTCACAACCACTGAACATTATCACACATTGCAGAAATGGCAGGCTTTTAAATAATAAAATTAATTAGTTATTGCAATAGCATGCTATAATACAATATTTGTAAAGAATGCCTAAAAATCATGAATCTGCTATATGAATAGCCCATAAACTGCCGGGCGAAATATGCTAGGGACATCAAATGGAAGACTTTTGACAGTATATGATTTGTAAGACAGGTAGTCCATGAAATAGGAAAGTAAGCTGTAGTAATTTTACCTCAAGCTCCATGGTTCTAATGAAATAGTGACTGGGAAAAGAGAACCGGTTTGAAGAATTCACTGGGGGTAGCGTAGTTGGTTGAGGCACTATGTACAAGCCGGAAGGTCGCGGGATCGAGTCCCGATGAGGTGGATATTTTTCAATTTATCTAATTTTTCCAGTCGCAATATGGCCATGGGGTCAACTCAGCCTCTAAGAGAAATGAGTACCAGGAATCTTCATGGGGGTAAAAGGCGGCCGGACCGTAGGGCTGACAACTTTACCGCCATCTATGAGCCAATTTTCTACATAATATGGGACCCTCAAGACCTCACAACCCTATGGGCCTCCATGGTCTGTTACAGGGATGGCTTTACCTTTCTATTTACCTTTTTATCTCTTATATTGTCTACCGACTGTTCTATTTCTATGAGAATTATATCATATTACATTCGTACTGTCATTCATTTACCATAGTGATCAGTATCTGTAGCTGCTATAGGGGCCTTCTAGCTTTTCTGATATTCAGTTTAAAACTAGAACGCCCTGTATATGCTGTGTAGTGGCTGTAGTTAAAGGGACTCTGACGACACGTCATGCTGCCAGTTTTCTACTCAATACAACTCACGCGTGCTAGCCTGGCAATTACGAGGCCTAGTTCTATCTGATTGCAGCCGCGCTTTGGTTTTCTACCGGATTTACTTCAGGGACCCATAAAACTATTAGTTTCATACACACACAGCAACAAATATATGTCGTGGCGGAAATGTGAATTTCAGTATTCCAGAACTTTGTCGCTATCTCAAAAACAATGCTTCGGCCTAAATTAAATGGAATTTGATTCTCAGTTCTTCACGCTTTCGCTTAGACTTCAAGCATGGAATATACTGTCACGTGATTGTGACCATAGACTGGATTTCGAGTGGAAATCGGATTTATTGCACACTTAAAAATACAACTTGTAACTACAAGTAGATATAGCGCTACTGCTAATTCACACAGTCAACAGTTCACTACAGTACGTATAAAATCTTGTCGCCTGGTAAGGGCTTTCGTGTTCACACCCACACTGGCCGGTGACTGTCTCACAACCAACTCCTACTCTTCCAACTGCCTTCTCAAGACTCTCTCGTAAACGCAGCTGCTCCTCGCTATATAGCCTCGGCACAGACCGCACAGAAAATACAGCTTCAAACAGTTCTATTGTTTCCTGTTTGTTGCGGCCATTACCTAGCAACTGACGTTGTTTACAGAGCCATTACTTATCAACGGCTGTTGTACAGCTGCTTATTTCGCAGTTGCTGCATAGCAACGAATGTGCATGCCTTAATATTATATTTAAAGACTAAGCTATTAATTTACTGAACAGCTTTCAGCTTAGAGCACCGTTGACATATTTCATCGAAACAGGTTCAACAGTTTGGATACATAAAACAAGCACAGATGGATAGACGTCCCATTATGAGACCATGTAATGCACCTTCAAAAAGGCACACAATGACCTTTGCTTCGACGCCACATAAAAATACATTTTCAAGTGATTTCGCAGTTTTCTGCCTTCTCTTCGAAATAGACCTGCTTGTCAATTCCTGGCTTCTTGCCCACTTGATCGGATGTGTTTCGTCAAAATTGGGATTATCATGTCGGTGACCATAATACGAGTAATCACGGTCCTTTGGGCTGTGATTCGGTGAAGTTTTGTCTATAGATACCAATGTTTCGGAGGAACATACTGCCTCAAACTTCAATGTAGAAAAATTATTCTTTCATCCTGTAGATGGAGGCAAGTTCCTCCAGAACGTAGGCGCCTATCTACCAAAGTACACATCTTCGCGTCTCAGAAGGCAGTAATTTCCGTACGTGTTCCGACCTAAAATTTAGAAAGGTGAAAACATTTCAACCTGCTTTCCTGGCTGTTATACCGACCGAGCGATCGCCGCTTATCGGCGAAGTTAGTGCCACCTTTTGCGGATAGAGGGTGTCGCGTGGTCAGCTCAATGAATCCCCACGGTAGTTAATCTCGGTTTTCTATTTCCTTGAAATAGCTCCTCAGTTATCCTCATGATGCTAGGTGGACCCCGTTCCAGACCCACTACTTCTCAGAAAATCCGTTAGCGCCGGGAATCGAACCGGGACCTCTGGATGTGTAGCCAGAAACTCTGACCACTAGACCACAGAGGCGGTATAGTTCGCTTGAAGACTGCAGGCCACGGAGTTTGTTCCTTTTTCCTGGCTGTTGCAGTTAATGAGTTGACCTAAGGTTTGCATTCCTATATCTCGCAGAAATTAGGTCCTTAATAAAGTAAGAAGACGTTAGGAATCAGGTAATGAATATGATGTTTATTACACATTCTTGTCTTCTCTAACGAAGTCTCTTGAGGCATTCAACACTATACACACCTTATGTAACAATCAAAGAACATACACAGATATTACTATATCATCATAAATAGTTATTATTCTGAAAGATTTAAAACGGTAAACTGGAATCTCACGTCAGACAGGCGGAAACAGTTCGACATGAGTTTTGTTCTATGAGAAGCAAAAAAATGAAAAAGACTGGGGTGTTGATAGTGACAGATACTCGGACAGCATGGTGACACGTTTCGTCCACACACACACACAAAATATTATTTACAGATAAGTGGTCATTGACATTATCACTGTTCCTAATGTCTAAAACTTTGATGTGTAAACACGTAATATTTTTATAAGATTTGTGGCTTTAACCTTGTGAAGCTTTGAACTTTATGCACTCTTGCAATAGAATAAATATTCAAATAATTTAAATATTCTCGAGATGTAAAAGCTAAATATAATTTTAAAATTTCTGCATTGTTGCTGCAGAATATACCTTGTAGTCAAATCATTTAAACTGACGATTTAAATTATTAACACAATTTATGAAGCTTACGCTTATTATAGAATGTAGTCTACAGTCAATCCACTTGAATGTGACAAAGATTTGCATTCTTAAAACTCTTTGTAAAGCGTTGAATTTTTACCATAGCCTCGATTCATAATATTTTATTATTTAAATTCTTAAGATAATTTGTTTCGGCGAACCACTAGATAGAACCGATTTTAATTAGATGTGAATATGATAATATTTGTTATGAACGTTAAATTTTATGAGTATGTGTCCCAGGAACTCTGCGTTTCCACGAAGCGAGTATGTTGCACTTAATTATGAAATATGAAATTAGACTATCATCACATTTCTTCCGTGAGCTTTTTCATAATGGTAGTATTTTGTGTTTGATATGTTTTGGCATGTATGATACAAATTGTAGGGTGTGTATATAGTCATTATAATACAGAGTTAAGTAATTAGAAAGAGTTTAGTTATTTGAAAACAATAAATATTACCATTTAATTGAATAGAGCAAACACATATATGTAAGGTATATCAAATGGAAATCGTATAATTGTTTTAAATAAAATAAAAATTGTTACGATAAATTTATGAAAGTAATACTTGTTGAACATACACAGCGAATTAATTCAATCTGCTAGTGCCAGATGATTCAGGAATAAAAGTTCAAATTCTCACCAGGAGAGTTCAGTCATGTGTCATCAGTAGTGAAATGTGTACTGACTTCTGTGTGGCGCTCAACTTCTTTTAGAACCGAGGAGGCTGAAATATATTATATATGTTGTAATATTTAAGAACCCATCTTGTCTTGGATTTTGGCCATCATCTTAGTTCTGTACGTATGAACCAGGTTTCCTAAATGTGCTCTATTTTCATCTTCAGGTGGGCAGGATGCAAATAAATTCCTACACTTTTGGGCTCCTTGGTACCGATCTCATAACCTGGTCCTTCGCATTAGAAGACCGCATAGGAGTTTCTTCATATCCTGTCCACCTAATGAGGGAAACAGAACTCAATTTCAAATTAATGTGGAAAACATAAAATGGACAAAGTAAAAATAGTGTGTTTTTACATTGTGTGACACCTTTTTTTTTCAAACATTTAAACCAAAATTAAATCGTGTTATTGATTAGTACAGTATAATCTATTCATATGAGATTGGTAGCCTAGTATTTAGATTAAAATGAAACATTTGGAGCCAAACTATAGCCTCTTCATACTTATAAATGACGTAGAACACGAAATCTTTTATAACTTATGTACTGTGTTTGTGAATAATATTCATATTATCTTAACCTTAACAGAGTTCTCAGTCCTTCATCCATTGTTTTGTGTTGCTGCAGAAAGAATTATGAATTTATATTGATATGTAATATAGTACAGATTCGTTTTCTTTGGAGAAGCATTATTTGTCCATAGAAATATAAATACCACACCACTGTGTTCATTTGAAATTCTAATATGCCCATATCTGAAATGTATTATTTTTAATTGCTATTAAGATAATAACATTATCTGAATAAATATGATTGGGTTTTAATTTTTTGGACCCTGGTATTCGTGTGAATAATGCTTAGAAATTCATAGCAAACCTCACAGAAAACATTGTTTCTCCATCAGTCGGTTTAAGCTGTGCAAAAAATAAAGTCTGTAATTTGTGAGAGTCATTCAGAACCCATAACACTGCAGGCAAAGTGTAGAGATTTTTCTTAAAAAAGCATGAAGTACATGCAATAATGCGTGTGTTTTGGTGGATTAAACAATGAATTAAGGACATAAGAACTAAAGTATTATTTTACATTAACTTGCTGTAGGGACAACATAATGTATAAAGCTGAATGATATAATTAGAATATTTATGAAACCAGACTCAAGTGTATGTGAAGGGTCAAAACGAAATTAGAACAATGTAGCAGAGAATTGACTATATATCTACACAAAATTATGATTTAACTAAGAAACTGTTTTAAGCTTAAAGAGTTTCGGTGCACAGGAATATTTTGGTCTGAAGCCAAAGAAACATAAATTACTGCAAATTCTTTGGCAATTAACTATTTTAGTGCAAAAAAGTATAATAAATACTTAGAGATTAATCTGTATTTTGAATGTAGGTGACATCACAAATATTTGTATCTAGAAATTATTACTTATACAAACGTCAAGTTGATGAAAAGGCCTGCCTTTTGTAAAACTTTTATTTTCTTCTTGTTATTAGCTCTCACTTCTGCCTTTTTGAGTTAATGGACTGATTAAATATTATTTTAGAATGAACACATTAAATGTGTTGAGAAGTATTTTGTGCTTGTAGGTAATCATAAAATGTACAGTAAGTAAACTGTGACTATTTAAATCTTAGAATACAACATTGTGCCATTTCTGGATTACTTTCATTAGTATGTATTTTGTGTTATGAAGTTGAAAGCATTTTTCGTGTCAACACTTTCTCTTTCATGCAACACAAATTTATTTTATTTTCCATAATTTGTACATTTAGGGAAATATTAACCTTTGGCTATAGTGACTATCATTTATTTTTAATACACTCAAACCATTACGTATAGCCTATATACATCACACATTCACACACAGTTGATCCGATGAGATATTGGGATTCTTGCCTTGTTAAACTGCATTTCAGCAACCATTCACGAAGCTTCCACCTAATAGTATCCAAGAGTGGAACAGTATCTATACATGGGTTCTAAGCTGTATCAGACAAAAAAGATTTAGCTATGTAATCAGTGCAAGACCCTGTCCTATATTTGAAGTCCGTAAATGAGTTTAAAATGTCGTAATAACGTCCAATATTCCTTTCTTTGTTTCAATTCTAGGAACTATTTTATTGAGATGACAGCGTAAACTGCGTGTAGTGTATTCATGTCTGGTGCAGCCAAACCAGAATCAGTCCAATTTATTTCTATACATTTTAAATTATATTCCATCTAATAAATGTTTTTTCTGTTGTGATCTGCAGAATATATTCTCGAGCCACATCAATTGTTTCTGCCCTGACTGCACCAAGAGTGTGTTTAAATCTCTTATCGCTAGGTGGAGACTTGTATGGCTTCTTGTTCATTGCAGTTATTATTGGTGGCTGCAGGTTCTTCTTTTATTGGGTTCTCAGTTTTCACTTTCACTTCATAAGAGACAGGAGACTGGTTGACCATCATGGACAAAGGAGAGTCCTCAGAAGGGTGAAGCTTCAGCCTCTCTTCTCGGTACCTGGACGGAGATACCACTTCTTCTGATAGACCTTCTGAGTCCTCATCTTCCTTCTGCACCACGTCAGTCACATGAGGGAAAGACATACGAGGAGTACTGTACAGATGTGTTTGAAGGCTTATAAGGTTATTGCTGAGATGATCTCCAGCACCACTGTTGGTCACTTTCCCCATGAAACTTCGTATTTCATCAAAACACGAGTCCTCGCGATCGTTTTCATTACTACTTCCTGGGCTGTCCGCCACTGAAACCACGCCACTGCCGTCATCGGTCTCATGCTTCTTAAGGTGCCGGTCCAGGTTGGTCTGCTGGCCGAAGCATCGCTCGCACAGAGGGCATTTGAAAGGCTTCTCTTTGTTGTGGATATTACGCACGTGGCGTTGCAGGTTGGACGAGATGCTGAAAGACCGCTCACAGTATTTGCACTTGTACGGTTGTTCCCCTGTGTGGGTACGTAGATGGCGGGTCAGGTTGGCGGATCTGGGGAACACTTTGCCACAGAACTTGCACGAATAGCGATCCTTCAGTTTACCACCGCTGTTGCCAGCACCCCCACCGCCATTGTTGGCTCCGAGGTGTGGACTTAAGACATCTTGGTAAGGTTTACTGGAACCGAAACCAGACAATGGTGCTCTTAGAAGGTCAAACGGTGGCCTGTTCCCAATGTGGCCATTACTGATACCATTAACCAAAGGTCCAAGAAAAGGAAATCTTCCAAACGGTGGTGGTGGCGGGGGCAAAAGACGGTCGTGATGACCTGGACCCGGTGGCGGTGGTGGGAAGCTTGGGAATGGAGGTCGGTACATCGCCTCAAGGAACATGGGGTGAATTGGGCGTGGATAGGCCATTGTCGGCGAAATGCTGACCGCAAGCGAAGATGGAACTTTTTCTGGCAGAGGGCTTCGTGTCGGGTGATTCGTTTGTGGTGCTTGTGGTGGTAGAGGGTGTGGTGGTGGGAGTGACCGTGGCTCCCGTGGAGACTGTTGTCTAACTGGAGATTGGACCGACCGTTTTTCTGAACCCGCGACACCTTCCTTTGATTCGCTCACCTTTTGCATCGCAGGAGGAGATGCACATACAAATGGACGGTGTTCTTCACGTTCTTTCACGTCATCGTCTTTGTCGTGTCTTCTTTTACGTTCCACTCGAAGATCAAGTGGTTCTTCACCTTCAGATTTCTCAGCGCTGTTTGTCGATCCTGGTCTTGTCTCTTCGTGTTCAACACGTTTTTCTGGTTCCTGAGAAAGTGTACGGGTGTCACTCCCTGCAGACAAATCTCTTGGTAAACACTCTTGTTCATTATCATCATCTTCAGACATGCGAAGTTCACTGGCTGTAGGGAGTGAGTCTCTGGGATTGGGGTACGTAGAACCTCCACTTGCACTCAAGGGGGGTCGCGCTGGTGACGGCCGGAGTTGTGACGCTGCCTCATCCGCTGAGGGTGGCGAAATTTTGTTATGTCCTGCGGCCATGTGAGGTGGTGTGAGGGACTGTCCATTCCTCAAGCTTTCTGTACTATTCCTCTCGGAAAGCAACTGTTGGTCTTGTCCGTTACCGTCACGACGCTGAAGAGAGACCTGCTGGCGCTGACTGCACTCTGCGGTCAGCCCAGTGTTGTGTTTTGATAGATGATCATCATCCAGAAGCTTGGCGTGATGTCCAGCGGGGAACAATAACGGACTGCTAAGAAATGAATGGGATGGATGGGGGGAAGCATGATGAAAAATTGAAGGGTACGGACTGATGAGAGGAGAAGGATAAAAAGGAAGTCCTGCTGGAGGTCGCGAGTACATAAGGAAAGGATTGGTGCTGTTCCCAGGCTGAGGGTGTGGATGCGGAAGATGGGTCATGGCGGAGGCGGGATTTGGAGGTAAGGGAGGGTGATGCTGGGATGGAGGATGAGCGCCGCCTCCGCCTGACGTCGTAGTGGAATCGCAGAATCTTTTGTGCTTTGAGAGTGACGTGACAGTACTGAAGGACTGGCCACACTTCACACACTTGATCTGCATGCGGCAGTCCGCGTGCATGCGTTTGTGGCGGCACAGGTTCGAGAACTGCGTGTAGGCCTGGAACAAGAGGCACAACATAAATGCCCAAGCAATGTTCATCGTCAGAAGCAGCCATATTCAGTGTATCTTAAAACCAGGGTGATAACAAAAATTTCAAGGAAACAGAACCAGGAACGTTTCAGGACAGTGTCAAAATAAACGATGAAAAAATCAGAATTCGCAGTCAGTTAATACTACTCTCAACAAAATTCACAGACATAAAATTGTCAGTATGATAATCAATTAAATTATTCGATGATAACTTTAAAATTGCCCACAATAACTATGTTGTATGGCTCATGTAAGTAAGTGACGGTGAGACATAATGTCTCCACTTCACTCCCAGTGAATCAATATACGTAGTTAGGAGGTGGGATCGGTTCCTGAGCCGGTCTAGAAGCGGCGATAACGCTGACTATGTCTGCCCGCGTAATGAGTATTCGGGTATTGATGCTGGGTTTATTTAGCAACGTTCTTTAGATTGGCCAGGCTGTGTGACTCCGAACGGTAGCATGAATTAGTATAACATGTGATGGGAAGTTGTCGTGAACTATTTAAGTTACTAATCCATCTACGCTAAGCACTACTGAAAATAGTTCATTTAAGATATCTGAGGTTTACAACCTGTCTCTGAAGCAGGAATCATAAAGAATTCAGCAGAATGTTACGATCTGTCTTTCATAATAGTCGAATCTATCGCAAAATAAAGCATAACGTAAATCTAATAAGTTTTAAATGCGGGAAAATAAATTTCCAAAATACATAAATTAATAACAGTTCTTAATTTTCGGACGGCCTCTGTGATCTAGTGATCAGAGTTCCTGGCTATAGATCCAATGGTCCCGGTTCGATTCCCGGCGCTACCGGGTTTTCTGAGAAATAGTGGGTCTGGAACGGGGTCCACTCACCCTCATGAGGATAATTGAGGAGCTATTTTAAAGCAAATAGCTTTATCCGTGGGGATCAGTTGTGCTGACCACGTGACACCTATCCGCAAAAAGTTGGCACTAATTTCGCCGACAAGCGGTGGTCGCTCGGTCGATGTAGTCCTCTTGCGGACTGCAGGCCAGTTTGTTTTCTTGTTCTTAATTTTCAAAGGGAGAATAATTTTGTTATAAGAACAAATGATGGTAAAATTTAATCAAGAGAAATAAATGTTTTTGCCATATCGAATTATGTGCAATAATAAACAGAATGATAAACAAATGTGCATGGAATTAACTAAATACGTATTAAGGAAGTTAAAAAATTTATTAAGCTAGTTGAACAGAATAAAAATTTTTAGGACCCCAAAACTTGAACTTCCCACAAACTAAAAGGGGTACAATATTCGAGTGGTACAGAAAACCCATTATGAGACAGGAACAGGCTTGAATAAGAAGAGAAAATATAGAAGATGAAGAACTGAAGAAAAGAAAAGGAGGGTACAGATAGCAACGGTCATGAAAACTGGATAAAAATAACAAAGCATTCCAACAGAGATTTAAGGGAATGGCATTTAAGAAGTAATGAGGCTGATTCCTTCCTTTAATTTTATCAATTTTAATGAAGAAATATATGGCTGTGCTGATAACGGAAACTGCGTCTGCTGAAATATGTTTCGACCGAAAGTCATGGTCTAGTTGTTAGCATCATGTGTTCAAATCTGGGACCGAACAACTGCATTCCTGACTAGGGGTTTCCTTGATTTCCTCAGCTCCTCCAATCTAGTGCCGGGTCAGAACTTCAAATTAGTCCACTAACGGTTCCTCTCACAACCTATTGCATTCATTATTCACTGTAAGCGGTATAACATCAGCTGTAAATAGAATATTCATTGTTGTTTCTGACCAACATGCGGTGTTACCTTGAAGCACACTTCACACTGGAAAGGCTTCACGCTCGAATGGATATGTGTATGTTGCTTGAGCCCTGATGACGTGGCGAACGTCTTGCCACACTCGGGACAAGCGTGCGAACGGGCGCCCACGTGGTGCGTTCGAATGTGGCGCTGTAGGTTGCTTGGATCCGTAAACACCTTGCTGCAGTTTTCGCAGGGGTACTTTCGGATCTCTTCGTGACTAAGAGCCCGATGTCGCTGAAGACTGGGCCTCCAGGAAAAGGCTCGAGGGCACAGCTCACACTTGTACTGGTCGGCCGGGTACCGGTGGTTCGTTACGAGGTGCTCGTCCAATCTGAATCACATACATAGCACTCCAGTTACACACAAGTCATTTAATTTGTTACGGGCAAATTAAACTAGGGGGATGGCTACCACCACTGAATTCAAAATCTTTTAACCCTGGCCAGCCATCTGTGTGGTCTTATAGAAATAATATATATATATATATAAAATAAATGTAAAAATGTGGTGAGCGCATACCTACATTCTCATTTCTGTAATCATTAAGTGAAAATCGAGTTACGTAACTAAACCACAGCACAGTAACTTCACGAAAATCTGGGTTAAGCTCAATGCTGTTCAATGTCTAGAGATGAGTTCATCTCGTCCTCAACTGTGACGTTTGGTGACTTGATTCTTTCTTCTGTAACACGGCAGATCTAAAAGCCTAAACTTTAACCTTGCCAGTTATTTCGTATTAGCTTTAGGGACCCTCTCCTGCAAACCAACTAATTTTAGGAAAAGGGTTAGGAAAGTGATAAATGAGGCGAAGTGAATGTGGGAGGAAATCAGCAAAAAAGAAAATGCACTAAAGTGAGGTGACGTGAGGTGAGGTGAAGTGAAGTGAAAAGTGTTAAGGATGAAAGGATTACGTAAGTGTAGTGAAGCGAAATGAAGGGAAAATGAGAACATGGCATTGCACATTCATTGATGTTAGTTTATTATACATTATGTTAATTTTCTACTAATGTTTGTGTGCTTTCCTACTAATGTTTGTGTGCTGTGTTTTGTTTGAACGTGTTGTTTGTCTGTTGTCTTATTGTAACACCACTGCCGCCAAGTGAAAACCGATTTGCAGTTTAATAATAATAATAATAATAATAATAATAATAATTTCATTAACATAAATCTAAGTTGTTATTGAGAACTGAGAAATGAAACGTATAAATATTTAATTGTGAAATGAAAAGTATAGATATTGTGACGCGTTACCTTACGTCCATCGCCGCGCAACGGCTAAATGGAAATTGTTGAGTTCCTACAGCGACAGATCGAATACAAACAGACCGTTGCGAAGGAGCATTCCCAAGGCAACGGATTGCCGAACACGTGAGTTTGGAATAGGCACTTCCATGGTAAAGCAAAGAACAGGGAGCCGTTGCGTAGACAATGCAGAAGCAACGAACGCGTCTCCCCAGAAATGAACTACAGAGAGTTCGTTGCGCCCGTTACGTAACAGCGGACAGTAGAAACGAAACACTGAGGAATGGTGTCTGGTATCCAGTCCGCAGAACACCTACATAAGCCGAGAGCTACAGAGACAGAAGAAGACAGCAAGAAGACAGTCTTGGGACAACCGCCGCCAGAGACAGTTGAGACCCAACCACGGCCAAGGATAGTTGAGACGTCGCATTAGAGTATTGGGCCAGAAGTCAAGTGACATTGAAAGTGGTAATAATTGTAAGGTGTGTAAGCGTGAGTGTCCAATAAAGATTCGCTAAATCCGAGACCCACGTGAAGTTATTTGTCGCGTGACATACCCAACACGTGACAATATTTAGAGAGGATAATAATAATAATAATTCAGTTTTTTATTGTTTTTTATATTCATGCAAATAATAATGGCAACAATTATACCATATTTAAAATCGTTTGGGGAGAACTCTCCTGGATCCGAATACGTCAACATCCCTGCATGTAACATTAGCAGCTGCTGCACATCCAGCAGAGGGACAATTTTAAATGAGGAGCAGACATCGAATAATGCAAAGTTTCTTATATAACGAGCAGGAACTCGGAGACCAACAATTTCTAGAACAGAAGGGCAGAACTTCAAACCAAAGTAAACTTCAGTAAGAAAGAGAGCATCGAGGCGATGTCTCCTAGTACGTAAAGTATGCAATTTTAACTCCTCCAGAGCAAGGGAATAACTGTAATGAACTTGAGGATAGAAACAGTTAAAACAAAGGGCCGCAAACTTCTGCTGGATGCGTTCCAGCTGTTGGCATCAGTTGACGTAATCGAATTCAAGACAATGGACGCATATTCAAGCTTAGATCTAACTAACGCAGTGTACTCGTACACTCTGAGCATAGAGTCTAGAGATGAGAAATTTAAAGTAATTTGTATTATCGGAATATTATTAAGGTACTGAAGTCAAGGAAGATGTGTTGGGCGGAACTTCTGGCACGCATGTAATATAAAATAATCAGTTGTCTTGGTAGCAAATATTAAGGGAACATGTAACTTGTAATGTAGGTATACATAATAATATTAAAATGGAATCTTAATAAGGAATAATGTGGGCGAGAATATACTTAATTAATTTGATTCAAGACAAAGACTAGTGGCGGGCTCTTGTAAGCACGGCGATGGACATTTTCCTTCCATAAAAGGCACGGGATTTCAAAATAGCTTATCGAGTATTCGCTTCTCAAGAAGGATCAAGTTCCACGGAGTTATTCGTAATCTAAACAGATCTGTCCAGCTTTCCACGGGCACAATGCACACGTATAACAAACAAAAATGCATACAGGATTTCTTCCCTGAACTGATCTGCACAAAATAATTTAGTGTTGAGTCAATACAAACACTTTGTCTATATTATCCTGGCAGTGAAATCAGTTTTTGCTCTGTAGACCGATGTTGATTGCTGAAAACCGAACAAAAATTAAATACGTCTGACCGATATAGCCTATTTTGAGGAAAGTGATAGCTCCCGCTTGGGCCCCTAGCGCTCGTGCCCTTAGTTTATTGTGCCTTGCATCTCTTCATGAAGGCCCCCCTTAACATCACGTCAGATGTGCAACCAAGTGGAACTGTATAAAGAGCAGACACACTCTTATCCACACATACAAGACGAGATTATAAATAACCGTAATTTTCGCCACTGGGTAACAAACCTCGTTTTGAGGCGGCTACACACCAGTGACGCACACCAGTCCCTAGGGCCTGGCATACCTCAAGGGGGCGAAAGGTGAGACGTGTAGTTGTAAGGTGCAGAGAGGTCTTGGGAGTGAGACAGGTGTGTAGAATTGAGGGTCGGGTGGGTGGGGGCTGAAGTAGATACGACAGGGCGTCCTCCGTATACAGAGTGTTCCACGTGTGGACAGTGAAAGAAAGTCAAACAGTCGTTGAGATCTACCGATGGAGAAACAGTTATGAACGCAACACTAGAGGGATTGTAGGAAGCGGTTTTGACTGATCTATCGACCGAGATAATATAGAAATCCAGTAAAGTCGCGTAGGGAACAGTTATCGGTCTGCAAGCAAGGCGGAAGCGAGTGCTAACCAGCAGTAGACAGTGGAGGCCAGACGCGGCTAGGAGCTATAAGGGCTGCGGCCGTGTAGAGTTAGTTGTGAAATTGGCGCCAGTCAGGGAGGACCGGAGCCATAAAACATGGAAACTGAAAAACTTACGGCGTTGGGAACCGTTACCAGGAGACAACAGGTGATGACACAGCAGAATGAGGAGACGCAGGGAGTGCTGTGGCGAAATATAGTGTGAATTAGCGATAACGCTATAATTAATTGTAGCTAAGAGTTCCATGAGCCCAATAAATCCGATTACCAATCCAAACCTCGTTTCTAGTCACTGAACACGTGACAATATATTGCTTTTTCTCAAAGTTTTAATAGGAAATATGATTGAAATCTATTAATACATGAGATTGTTGCGAGTCTCACGGCCATAGGACACAGATCATGTATATATGGATTTTCGCATATTCAAAGGGGGCTCCCATGAAAATCTCGGGACCTTGTTTCAACGCCCCCAATACTTTGCATACACGAGTACTTGTATATTACGCGCAAGAGAAAAAGAGACTCTGTGGGACAAATGCTCTAAAATTACGCAATTTGGGACTCCCATAGAAAAGAATGGTACAGCGCTAACATATTGCATCAACATAAGTTATGTATTTGTTCACGTATGCGCGAGCGGTCTTTTGTTTCATTGCATCGTTTCTATTCGTCAGCACTGGTGATATTTTGATATGTGCGTGTGAAATGCTGTGCTCTATAGAAGAAGTTTCACGATTCACTATTTTTTCGTTTTATTCATGGTAGATGATGATGATGATGATACTGATGGTGAAGATGATAAATTCTTCGATTTTTTTACTTACTTATAGAAGAAACCAAAGACCAAATATAAAGCAAGCACGCGCAAAAAAAAAAAAGAAAGAACATAAAAGAATATACGTAAAGCTATCTCTGCAACAGGCAGTGGAGGCACAATTTTGTAGACAATCGGCTCACAGATGGCGGTAAGGTTGTCAGCCCTACGCGCCGGCCGCCCTTTATTCCCAGGAATATTCCTGGTACTCATTTCTGTTAAAGGCTGAGTCGAACCTAGGGCCATAGTGCGCTAGAAGGATTAGGTAAATTGAAAAAAATCCACCTCATCAAAATTCGATCCCGCGACCTTCCGGCATGTAGCATAGTGCCTCAAATCATCATCATCATCATCATCAGTAATCTGTCAAGACGACAGGTCCACAGTCTCTTTCAAAACAATTCCTCCACTTAATGCGATCTAGAGCTTTCTCCTTCAAATGACAGTATCCTCTTCTGTCCCCAAGGTCATCCAGCATCTTCTTACGTCTTCTTCCTCGTCTTCTTGTCACTTCTATCCGACCATCTATCTTTCCTTCGATAGCTTCTTTTAGAAGGCAGTTTCTGCGTAAAACATGACCAATCCAATTAGCCTTCCGTTTTCTTATTTCATGTAGGATATTCCTCTGCTCACTGACTCTAATTAACACTTCTTCATTTCTCACATAATCGGTCCAACTGATCTTTTCCATTCTTCTCCAACACCACATTTCGAAATGCCTCAAATATATAAATAAAAAACTAAATAAGACAATTGGTACCATTCAGACAATACATTCAACACGTACAGCCAAGCCAACTATTCCACGGTGAATATGTGTACATACAGGTATATATACATAGAATACAACTAACATTTTAATAATACAGAATATACCGTTATTAAGTATGATAACAGAAACCAGTTTCCATTTCAAATGTCAACCTCCCTACAATATCGTTGTTGATTATGAT